CGCCAATGTATGCAACAAGATACCTTTGTTTCCACGAAAATATAAGAAAGATGTGTATTTTTTTAACTCACTGCTGGAGATAAATGGAATATAAAAGTTGAATGTCTGCTGAAAAGTCGAAGAGGAACGATTTTGTGTTATTCAAAACGTAAATTTTCATTTCACTGATAAATACGAACTAATCTAATCATCAAATAGTCACGTCGAATCACGGAATAGTGCGTTCTAATTCTGTTGCCAGCCGAGTTGGTGTAAACAATAAAACCACATCAAACTAATACACAATGCTATCGATTGATACAACTAAGGAGCGTTTCAACGAGAAGTATTGAAGGTAGAGATTTTTGCTTGACCGAAATTATATCCCACATCGCTACCTCACGGTGTCAACAACTGCAAATAATCGAATTAGAGTCTCTGCTACCGAACCCAAAATTCTAAGCAAATCTTAGTTCTTAGCACCCTATTTAATAAAAATCAATATTATAAGCTGACCTCGTAAATGCAGTGGCTGTAAGTGGGGTTTTATCCCTATCTTCTGTTCAAAATAATCGTCTTCTAAATCTTCCGTTCAACAGTGTTTATACCGAACGAGCAACCGATCTGAACGGTACCTAGATGGTTCACGTAGAAACAATTGAACCGCGGGCCACGATGAGGAATGAGTGAGTGTGTTACCTAAACTAAAACGAAACGGTGGCATATAAGCCACAGACTGAAAAAGTCTAAGCGACAAGTATCTCGTACGTTAATTTTTTTTTTTTCGTCTTCCTGTCTGGTTGTGTCTTTCTTTTTTTCTACCTTTCTATCTTTCAATTTACTTTTCTTTTTTTCCTTCTTTTTTTCACAACGCTTACTTTATGTAGCGTAGCTTAAATAGCGCCTGCACTTTTTTCTGGGATAGAAATAACAGGCACTGACTTTCGCAGCCTGTAAATGCGGTTTACNCTCTAAACCACCTCCAGGAACCCAGAGACATCAAAATAACGCAATGCAAACATGAGGTAAGCCATTTTATTCAAATTATTTTCTACACGTAGCATTCAGAGTAATTTTCGAAGCATTCTCATACATTGTCTTATAACTGGCTAAAATTGAAACGCAATCGTCAACAGCATAATGTCACGTATTAATCATATTCAACGTCTGGGCCGCCTGTGATCACCGTGAAAGAATTTCATGATCAAATTTCTAATCTCAAAAATAAAATAAGCATGTGGTACGGACACTCTTCCAAATGACATGATCAAACACGGACGGTATTATCTCATTTCTTCTCTAGAAAGAATATTCAATGACATCATTGAAACCGGCACCTTCCCAACTGAATGGAACATAGGTGTCATAAAACCAATATACAAAAAGAAAGGTGACAAGAAATGCCCAGCCAATTACAGAGGGATCACTTTAACCAGCTGCTTGGGGAAACTGTTCACATCAATTTTACAAAACTGATGAAATTAGTCTATTGAGCAACACAATATTTTAAATCCAGAACAGTTTGGGTTCAGACCAAACGGTAGAACCACGGATAGTTTATCTATTCTCCGCCAACTACTCCATAAATACACCAAACAACACAAAAAGCGTTATGTTGATTTCATTGATTACGAGAAAGCTTTGATAGTGTATGGCAATGCGGTATGATCCATAAATTACACAAATACCGAATTCAAGGAAAATTCTTGAATGTCATAAAGTCCATGTATTCCTCAATTAAGAGTTGTGTTAAAATTGACCAGAACACACTTATAGAACTATTTTCATGTGACAAGGGGGTAAGGCAAGGTGATGGTTCAAGTCCAGTTTTATTTTCTTTATTTATGAATTATTTACCGCAATATTTTAAACAGAACAAATGCCCAGGCGTGGTGTTAGGAGATCCATCTCTAAACTGCTTAATGTATGCAGATGAGTTGCTAGTCATCAGCCCTTCTCCAGAAGGGTTGCAACAATCGCTTGATGTAATTCATAAACATGCTCAAGATTGGAAGCTCAAAGTTGACACCAAAAAGTCAAACATAATTATACTCAGTTGTAACGGTCAAAACAGGAAGAAGGTAAATTTTAAATGACAATGAAACTTAACAAATTGTTGAGAAACAAACATATTTAGGTATAGAAATGATGTCATCTGGTCGTTTCACCTACGCAAGAGAAATTCTTAGCAAAAAAAGCCATCAAAGTTCTCTCGATAATAAATCGATCCTTCTCTAACACAGATGATACAGCAACAATTACGATTAAGAACAAACTCTTTAATGCCCTGGTTAAACTCGTGTTACTTTACGCATGCGAAATTTGGGAACCGGAACTATTATCATACAAAACACCTTTGATAAAAGTACAATTGAACAAGTTCATATAAAGTTTTGTCAACAGTCATTAAACGTTCCATGGTAGACAGAAAATATTGCTTGCAGAGCAGAGCTTGAGCGGTACCCTTTAAGCATCGACATAAACGCATCAATCTTCAGCTACTGGCAAAGATTGACGCATTCCACTAACAACGTTTTGTTACGAGAAGCATTTCAGTATGCAGCAAAACATACAACTTTCTTTGACATTCAACAGAAAGGAGAAATCAATACAAAGTGTAAAGTAAAAGAACCAGCAACCCAGCAACATATCAAGAATGCACGATTAGTTATAAAGAAAACCATCAGGAATCAATATTTACAGAACTGGCTTGAAACCCAGAATAGGTCATCAACAAGTTCAAGAGAGAAATTTACACAAAAGGAAGTTAAAAATAATTATCAATTTGAAAACTACCTGACATTAATTACAAGGCCAGCACACAGAATTAGCCTGACAAGGCTTAGATTAGGATGCCAATAATTACGAATACAAACTGGCAAATATGAAAATAGAGGAGCATTAATCCCAGTAGAGGAGCGAATATGTTTAGTATGCAAAGAAAATTGCATAGAACATGAACAGCATTTCTTGATGTATTGTAGGGGGTATACCACATTAAGACGTGAGCTGCACTCTCATATTTCAAACGCTGACACCCATTACCCCAGTTTAATTACTATTACTATTACTATTGCTATTGCTATTGCTATTACTATTACTATTGCTATTGCTATTGCTATTGCCATTGCTATTGCTATTGCTATTGCTATTACTATTACTATTCATTCATTCATTCTTTTACCATGTTAAGTTGTGAGGTGTACACTGTATGAGCAACTAATTTGTAACCTCGTTTAGTTAAACCACTTTCAAACAAGTTTAACATGGTGTGAATAAGAAAATAGAGAGTAAAATCATAAATTAAAATCTGTGCCAGTTAAGATCAGATATCCAAACAATGTCACTGTCATGATGAAAACCTCTACGCTTCCAGATTTTCCTGCAGCTTTCCCGAAAAACTTTTGTATCATTTACCCCCGTTTCCAAAGTTCCAAAATGTTTCGTTTCTTAAAAAAGCTTCATACGCCCTCCTTTGTAAGACAACTAAGCTCACCTCTGAGTCAACGTCTCCAGAAGGAAGTTTAGACACCTGTGGGGACTTTTCATCTAATTATACAATCAAAACAAACGTATGACATGAAATGACATAAATCAATGAAATAAATGGAATGATCTTCACAATATGCAGGTAATGATTCGCTATGACAGGGTATGAAAAGTTTTTTCAACGACACATTTCTCAAAAATAAAACCCATAGGCTCTTCCCTCACAAAACACGCAGTAAAGAAAAAAAGTTTTCTATATCCTTTTCTAATTAACAATTAGATTATGAGCTCGAGATTTCTATGGGGTGATAGTTGATGAGGCCGAATGCCGAATCAACTATTACCTCATAGAAATCGAGAGCGAATAACCAAATTGTTCTAGTAGAATTCTTACTAAAATTTACTTCAAATAACGGTTTCCAATTATTTCTTGACGTATTATTAAACTTTGCACCTGAAAAAGATCGCCCGGATTGACTTCTCATTTAAAATGCAAGTTGTGAGCGCGCGCGCCAAAATTAGTAGAATTTTACTAGTATACTAATGCAAATGCCGTAATCTGATTGGCTGAGCCATTGAACACTATCAGCCATTAGTATCACCCAACTAGTGGACTAATGCAAATCCTGNCCTTTTCTGTCCGACTAGTTGGGTGATACTAAAACAATTAGACCCTTCGCCCGCAAGGGCTACGGGTCTAATTGTTAATTAGTGTGCAGTGGCTGAAGGTCGTCTAGGAAGTGGCAACGTTTTTTTCCGTTTTTCCGAAGCTTTGAAGGAACATTTTGATGCGAATGCATAATTAAATTTCTGAGAAGTCAAAATGAAGGACATTTACGGTTTCTTGAAGTTTAAAAAAGTTGAAATTATTGAAAAAACTGATGCACGCGTGCACACAACCTCATCCGAGTGACCTTTTTCAGGCGCAACGTTTAATAATAAACAACAAGAAATAATTGGAAACCGTTATTTGAAGTAAATTTTAGTAAGAATTCCACTAAAACAATTAGATTATTCGCTCTCGATTTCTATCCGTCTCATCAACTATCACCTCACAGAAATCTCGAGTTCATAATCTTTTTATTGTTAATTAGTATGCTTAGAATAATCTTCTGGAAACATGAATAGTAATATTAGTGAAAAATACCAGCTTCTACATGTATCTCTATTACCGCCTCTGAAAAAGCCTCCTACCCTCTTGAAAGTGGGTTTTGCAAGTCCCCCCTCTTTGTAAGGCCTCCCCCCTTTGAGAAACCAGATTTTGTAGATAGACCGTCCTATTTTCTTCTAAACCACTCACTTCGTCCCCATTTGGTGCATTTCTGGAAGGCTAAATAATAATAAAAAAGCAACCAAATACTGTATCTGTATTTACAAGGCAAGATTCAATGTTTTAAGAGTTGAAATAAGGTCCAACGGGTTTCAACCAACTGCAAATTAAACCACAATGCATGCAGCGCATAAAACCTCTGGAAGTGACCAACTCCGATACAGCAAGACAAAATTTCTGCAGTTTATCACCTACATACGGTTCTATTGTATTTTGTATCTCATGATATGATGAAACAAAAATAACACCTTACCAATAACCTCACTTTTTGCTGCTCCTCTCTCACTCTACGGCAGGTAAAGGATTCAAAAAAGAAAAAAATATAAACAGTTAAATGGGAAAAACTACAGATAAATAAATAGGGCATAAATGAACCGTAGCCTCCACTTGGTGCAAAAATATTCTCAGATATTTGTCCACGGACATTATCTGTCCCAAGAAGCAAACAGGTTCTCAAGAGTGAAGCTTGAGAAAAACTGTGAGCGTTGAGGAACAGGTAAATGTCCAAGGACAAATATCCGAGCATATTTTTTAAGTCAAATCAAGTCTATTGTGTTTATATCATTGTTTTCCGATCCGATATTCCTCAGTTTTTACTGATGCACATTTAGTCAAGTGACATGTTAACACTTTAAGCTCCGATAGTGCCATATGGCACAAAGTGTTATAATCAGCTTAATATTTGGCCAATAGACCAATTTCGATATATTAAAATTCAGCCTAACACAGTAGATCTCAGCACGAGGCTCCGCGAATAAACTCTGTAGTTATTCCCCGGAGCCTCGTACTGAGGTCTATTGTTTCAGGCTAAATTTTAATATATCGAAATTGGTCTATTCATTTCAAATTTGTACACCAAAAGGATCTTTGACAGATCATAACATTGGAAGCATAACATCATTCCCCATCCTGAATCAGACTTGATTAACCACCCCTCAAGTTTTTGAAACTTTTGCGCTTTACAATTTTACGGTCAAGTGAATATCTGATAAAATCTGCACACCCAGAGCTGCAAATTAAGCTATTGTTTAGGGTATACCCAATATATACAAGGAATAAGGTATTTTCCAACGTTTTCATTATTTTACTTAGCAGACTCCTCAATTCAATTTTTGACATCTTGTATGTCTAATGTTGTGATTTAGGACATACGTACCCCAAACAATACCTTTCAACTAGTGTATTACTTGTGGTCTTTCGATCTACGGTTATCATTTTAGATAAACTAGTGAGAGAATCTCAGATAGTGCAAAGTGCAATTTACGGCTTTGACACAGTAGTCACATAGGTCCTCACCCATGCCGTTCTCTCCCTTGGTAGTCAACTAGGCCTTTTCCCTTTACAGAATATGAGCGGACAAAAACTTGATAAGACGTAATCTCAGCATTGTGTATGTTTCATGTTTGTATTTTCTTTCAAGGCCCAAAAATAACTTTCAATTACCGTTTGTCAAGACGGCTTTGAATTTTATTGTGGTGTTTTATGCCGAGTTTCAGTCACTTTACTTTTCACGCCAACGTATGTAACTTGATACTTTTGTTTTCCTCGCCAAGGTATGTAACATAAAACCCTTCTTTCCTCGAAAATATAAGAAAGATGTGTATTTTTTTTTTCTTACTGCTGGAGATAAATGAAATAAAGCTAAACATCTGATGAAAAATCGAAGAGGAACGATTTTGGTTTATTCCAAACGCAAATTTTCATTTCACAGCTAAACAAGAACTAATCTTATTATCAAATAGTAACGTCCAGTCACGGAATAGTGCATTCTTATTCACGTCAAACTAATACACAGTGCTATCGATTAATACAACTGAGGAGCGTTTCAATGGGAAGTATTGAACGTAGAGATCGTTACTTTGTCGAAATTATATCCTACATCCTCGGTGAGAGGGTCACCCCAAAGACTGATGAAATTGATTGACGGTTTCATTAAGTGCCACCGAGTCTGCGGCAGTAATTGCGAGTTTCTTGTGTCACAAATTTACTAGCTTTAAATGTAACCAACGCGAGAAAGTTTCGGCTGATTTTATGAAGTTTTTGCTCCCTTCATAGAAGAGGAAATAACCGCTAAGGAGAAGCATTCTTTATTTGAACCTTGGCAAACACACAATAGTACAGCAGACGAAATTCCTTGAATCGAGCTAGGGGTGATTCCAGAAGATACGCAGTCACAGTAGCGTTATTTCCACTAAAAAAGGAGAACTGACTTTACCTGAAATACAGCTGCTATCCCTGGTCAAAACAGTCCAGTTTTGGCCCTATCTCTGTCAAGCAACGGTACGGTTGGCTCGATTTCCGCCGCTCTCTCGTGTCCGGTCTACGTTCCTCCCGAAAAGAGACTTCGGGGGAGGAGCGCGGGCTCCTTTCCCGAACAGCGGCTGGTAATCGAGCCTAACGTTACGGTAGCATTGCGACACTGAAGGCTAACTTATTTGCACATGTGTTTCGAGCAAATTGCGTTTGTTCTTAAGAGAATAGCACCACAAGGATAGCAAGAGATTTGCGAAAACATATATAAAGCTTTGCCATGTTTTCATGAAATCAGTCAGCGTACATGTGACACGTTTTTGCGTTGTGCACTCGGCTGGTACCTAACCCACCAAGTCCCCCTTCCTGCAAGGCTAATTGATTAACTGAAATTAATAAATTAACCAAACATTAAAGTTTACACCTCATGGCGTTAGTCCTTTAGTGCCTCAGCGAACAGCAGCCCCCTAAACCATCCCAATAGTGCACTCTGCACTAATAAGGTTTTTCTCCGGGGCTTAAAGGTTTAAGAACAATCGATGTGAGTGAAAATATATTAAGTAGATACTGGAATCTATAGTTAAGGTGGCTCAAAACAGATCCCAGCGATTAGATTTTGATGGGTCGTTATAAACACTCTTAATCACTTGATGCTACAATCATGGTATCAAAAAACTGCCCAATCATTGGTGAACAAGTTGTTATCATTTTCGTGACGCAATAGGTTACCATAGCAACAGTATGACCTCCTAAAAACACCCTTAATTACAGCTTTAGGAGCTTATATTTCAAAAACGGCAAGGTGAAATCTTTTAATATTGTCAACTTTTGATAAGCATGATAAGACGCTACTTTTGGCAAAGTTTAAAAATCGTCTGTGGGTTGGGCTCAGAGCCACTTTAAATTTTCGAAAATTTAAGGTGGCTCTAAATAAATTGACTAACCTTCAGCTGATTTATATACTGTGAGGCTTTGAATCTTTCATCCTTATCAGACTGACGGCCATTCACCTTTTAACAAACAGTTCTAATTAATGTCCATAATATTCGCTTTGATTTTTAAAAATAATTTCTAATTAAAAAGTTAAAAAGTAAAAAACACAGAACGTTTTCGACACTAGCTCATCTTCAGGGCAAGTAAAGACCGTCCGCTAATTGCGTATTTTATATATCAGTTACGTAATTCCTGATGGAAACAGTTTCGCAATGTAGCAATGAATTCGTTTGTTTAAAGATGGTATCCATTGTCATTAGGCCTTCGAGGATTTTGCGCTTTGTAGTGGATTGAGCAGTGCAAAGTATGCGCCAGCTTAAAGAATGCGAAGGATTCACATGTAGATAGCGGACAGGTTCAGAGTAGTGACAACTTCTAGTATGTTCATCAAATAGCACCTGCACATTTCTCATGGTCTCAGTTATGTAACTCTCACCGCAGGAACAGTCTCCTGAATAGACTGCGTGTGATCTGTGAGTGTTTATGTCTTTAAGGTTGAAAAGGCTTGTGTTGTCTTGTTTGCCAGAGGATAATGAAAATGTACTTGGAGTTCGTGAAATTGTTTAGTTTGGGAATGAAAGTTTTACTAAGTTTTTCCTTCTTATTACAGTAAGGGAGCTTAATGAAAACTTTCTTGTGTTCTTGTCCACAGGCGAATCATTCAGGAAACTGTTCACTGTTTGGGAAATAAAACGCGTGGGGTATCCAGCAATTAGATAAGTTTTTTTCAATTTTTTTGATTTCGTTGTTAAAATCCGAAGAGATACGTTTGGCCCTGTGGAGGGCGCCAGTGATGCAATTAATTTTCGATTTTGTGGGAGTTTAATTTCCGACTTCCAATGCGTAGGTAGTTTTCCCGGTTTCTTGTAGACTTGGTTGTCATAAGTGGAAGCAGTGTCAAGGAAATGGTCGGAATTTTCTTCGAAACAATGTTAGGATGGTAACTGTTAAGACGTTCAAGCAGATCATCAGGCTTATCTCTTTTTATCTTTCTTCTTTTTGAAGAAACAATCATCAACGTACCGGTTATAGGGTTGTGGGTTAAAGGGTCGGACAACATCTGACTCCAATTTAACCATGAGATATTTGCGAGGACAGGAGATAAAGGATTCCCCATAACGCATCCATCGATTTGTTTGTAGATGCAGCCATTGAAGCTGAATGCCGTGTTTTTAGTGACATTGCAGAGGGAAGACGGGTTGGTTGGAAGTCCGTGTTATCTTGTCGAGAGGCAGTGTTGAATCCTTCACATTCTTTTAGCTGGCGCATACTTTGCACGGCTCAATCCATTACAAAGCGTAAAATCCTCGAAAAGGATCCGGAATTACGTAACTGATATATTAAATACGCAATTAGCGGACAGTCTTTCCTTATGATCTTGAAGATGACCTACAAGTAGTGTCGAAAACGTTCGATGTTCTTCACTTTTTAACGTTTTTAGCCTTGTAAATAGAAATAAGTTCTAATCAGGAACAGTAGTTAACATGCGTAGCCTTGCTTAAATCTTTTTATAGTACAAAAAAATGAACATAGCAATCCAGAATGTTTTCAGAAAGCGTCAAACATTCACATAGAGAGCTTAATTAACTCACCAGGTAAAGCGTCAGGCCATTATCAATGATGTAGACATTGTCTGGAGTAACACTTTCCTTAACATATGCCACCTCAGTCATGCGGACGTTGTTTCTCCCCTACAACCATTGCAAAGAAATTTTTCCATTTAGTATACTGAAGTTTATAATGGTATTTCAAGGATCAAGCTACGATATACATGTACGTCCAGCCACTTGCATGTAGCTACTTCTCCCCACAAAATAGCTTGTTAACCTTTAATGGTTTAAAACTGCAAAACACAGAGGAACCCTATATACTCTACAGTTACTATAACTGGGCAATAATAAAAACGTGTTCTGGTTTAACCCATTGACGCCTGTGCTGGCCGTAACCAGCCACGACGAGCGTTGGCCCTTGCTCCACTTCTGACATCATCAGCTTTGACCAAAATTGAATCACGGAATAGTGCGTTCTAATTCTGTTGCCAGCCGAGTTGGTGTAAACAATAAAACCACACCAAACTAATACACAATGTTATTGAGTAACACAACTAAGGAGCGTTTCAACGAGAAGTATAATGGTAGAGATCTTTACTTGACCGAAATTATATCCCACATCGGTGAGCGAGTCACCTCATCGACAGATGAAATTCATTGGAGGTTTCAGGGTCTGCAGCAATAATAACGAAGTTTCTTTTGTCACAAATTTACTAGTTTTACATGTACTAACGCGGGAAAGTTTCGGCTGAATATGAACTTTGGGCTCTCTTTCATAGAAGAGGAAACAAACAAGCTGCTAAGGAGAAGCAGTATGTTCCCATTCTCTATTTTAACCCTGGCAAACACACAATAGTTATAAAACAGCAGACGACATTTCTTGAATCGAGCTAGGGAAGATTCCTGAAGATACGCAGTCACAGTAGCGTTCTTTGCACTAAAAAAGGAGAACTGACGTTACCTGAAATATAACTGCTATCCCCAGCCAAAACGAGAGTG